CACGCTGCCAAGCGACCAGCCACAACGAAGACAGATGCTGATAAGTGAAGGGCCACCCGTGCTACCGGAAGACACAAATGTGGCCGCTCCCTTGCGAATCGAATGAGTTCCAATCTCACTGCTGCCGACCGGATTGTCTTGAAATAGTGCCTGTTTCAAGCCTTTGCCGAACCTCGTGCGCTGAGACGAACCAGGAAAGAGTGCTCCAACAGCAAGCATCGGGTTGCAGGCAAGGTACAGCCCAAGAGCAAGGAAAGAGCACATGTGTGGCTGTAGTGGGTTGGCATAGATGTGCCGAGGGTCCCGCCGTTTTCTTCCATCTTGGTCGGTCTTGGACTTGAAGAACGTGACCCCTATGGCGTCTTCTTCGTACGACAATTGTCCAAGCTGAATGGTTTCTGTTGACTTCGAGCGTGCCATCAGGTTCCACAACAATACGAGAAACAGGTGTAGGAAGCCAGCGTCCATTGACGAAATTGTTGTGCGGCAAAGAGCTTCGTATGCTCCAAAACCGAGAGGACACTTTCCCGATTCCTTCACTGAAGTGGTCTGCTCGCTTGACGCTGTGATTCGCCGAATTCCTAACGGAGCTGTTAATGTCGTTGTTTGTGCTGCTTGCTGTACCTTGGAACACGCTTTTAAGTCGCTGTCAAACTGTGGCAGAGTTTGCAGATGGACCTTTTGCATCTTGTAGTAGTTTCGCATGGCTGACCTGTAGCCGGACATCGTGTTGGCCTTCACAGCAGTGTTCTGCATGGTCCAAACGATGAACTGGACGAACCACTCGTACGAGAACGTTGCCAGGTTGATTGAGCCGTCTGCCTTGAGTAGCTCATTGGCTTGATCGGTGTGCTGGATCCACTTGACAACTTGACGGATTCCCGAGGCGTATGCCTTCTTGGATCTTTCGGCCACCAGAGCACCATGAATTTCCTCCAGCGTCGACGATTCGCGCGGCGGTACTGTCGTCATGTCAAGAAACGATATGCTTGTGTTTCATCCAATCAGTGCTCGAGAATACACGGTAGGCCTGGTGGCCTACAAATGCACAAAATTTCCATTGTTTACACTAATCTTGTTCGTATCTTTTGGACACTTTTTCATTGAGAAAAGAACAAATATAGGCCTGGTGGCCTACTCATCTATTGAATTTAGTATACCGGCCCTATGTAGTTCATTCAATGTGTGATTAGAGTGTATCACACTAATTTTGAAACACCTTGAGGCTTCTCGATCACATGAATAGTGTGTTTCACACTATTTTTCATTTACTATTATTTAGAGAATCACATGAATTGTACACTATTTACATATGTAGATATCACACTATTTAAGATCCGAAATACTGATTCCCCCCCCCCCTAAACGGAACGGGGGAAATTCAATATATTTCATAATCCTATATTATAAATCGTCAAGGGGTTTTCAAATATTTGAACCATGTCAGGAAAGTGTGGATATATTCAAACATGAAGCATCACATAACCTTCGCCAAGAAGCATGTTCTAAATTATTTTGCGCGCCGGTTCGTGGCGTACTTGCGCTCAGCTCTCACCCAGCCACTCGAGCAAACTTTCTGGGTCATGAACCATAGTCATCCCAACCCCGCCTGAGACATCATCAGCGTACTTGACGTCGTTATCGCTACGGAACCCGAGCATCTTCCCGTTGTCGATATCGACAACGAAATGAGTATCGTCAACACTCTCTACGACGTTTTTGCAAGACTGGAACTCACCTAAGTGCGCTGGTTCATGAGTAATGCAATGATTCAATGTGAGAGCGGAAGCTTGCGTGCGACGGTTCCGAGATGGCAGACGATCTCCTTCGATGTGCACATTGCGCTTCTCATACACCATCAATTTTGCGGGATGTGCCCGCCCGACAAAGTTGTACTTGTCCATGAGGCGTTGGACCCATCGAAGATCGATACGGTCCAATATGGGCTTGTACGGCTTGGCTTCATTCGCAAACGTAGTATTCAACACCGGATGAGTCGACGTCTTGACGAAGACTTTGGCGAACAAAATGAGCAACTTCGGCGAGAACTTCACCCCAGCCTTGCGTAAGCGGTTGAACTCCTCCACCACCCCGCCGTACAACCACCCAACCCATGCCTCTTGCTTGCGACTACAACCAGACGCCGCCTTGGACAGCATCATCTTCGGGTGCTAGGCTGTTAGTGGCTGACCGGCATGAAGTTCTCCCAGTCTTCCCGTAGGATGACCGCTCGAGTGCTCCACCACTGGCTCGCCTTCGTGCAGTTTGCATTTACGGAACCGGGAAATCTTCCAGGAACTATCGCACCGTCCGGGCGAACAACCCGTTCTTGCCGGTCGTCTGCTCGTCCTCGACCATCCACTTGACGACCTTGACGCGCGTCTGCTGTGTTGTGACTTGCTAAAGTGTGCGCTTTCTGCTTTTCCCCACCACCTCCTCCTGCTGATTTTCTTCGGCCTCCTCAACCCCCTTCTCATCATCGATCTGAATCACTGTTCTGCGGCATTCGCGGAAGTGCGACGTGTGCCCTTAGAGGTGACCTAGGGCAAACTGCACTTACTCCACGGACATCCGTGGAGGGCCGACCAGTTGGGTGGCTGCAAGGCTGCCACCGTTTCAGGAAAAGTAGTGACTGGAATGGAGTGGTAATACCAGTCTATTTGTACTACGTAGTATTATGAATCGGATCAAGACGTTAATCTCCGTGTTGTTAACGGACGTTAACAACGCGGGTGCGGAACAAAGAATTCTTTAGAGAACGTATCGGCATTACAATAAGTGACACCGAAGAGCAGTCCTTCAGTCGCAAGTCTCCGTCGCCGGAGCGCGACGATGAGAAATTGCGTACGACAATGCGTGGTCGCGAACGCGGGCGTTTTCCGCGGGCCAATTGGTTCACCAAGAAGAACTCAGCCACAGCCGATCAACTAGACGCCGTGGTTTATGGACGACAAGGTTGCGATGACGTCAAGATGGACGCCATCGGCTGCGCTGAAGTCAGTAGCTGACGTGCCACTGCCGGACGAACCGTCTGTCGCGCCGAGTGCAGCAAAAGATGTGGACATGGGCCAGGACGAGCCCATGAGGGTGTCGAGTGCCCCGGCTTTGCCGCAACCGCCTGTTTTCCAGGGGTCGAACAAAGGCTGAGCGGCGTGTGTTCATGCGGGAGTATCAGCGATACGCCTCGCAACTGATGGCATTGCAATCTATTGCAATCAAGCGGCCAGAGGCCGTTGTTGATGCCAGTTGGCGCTTTTATGGACCTTTTTTCGAAGCGTCGCATCGCTATGTTCGACTTCAGGAGGTCCCCAAGCGATGTCACGGAAGAAGAGTGGATCGGCTGGTTCAAGCAAGGCGAAAACGAGGAGCCTTACGAATTGGATGCGCTGAAGAAGCGCCTGCAGGCTGCAGTTCAATTCAACACAAAGATCCTTGACGCCGACAGTCGTCGAGTGAGTCGAATGCTCGACAACCTGATGCGAGTGCTGGAGGCAAATGGCCAAGAGTGCGTCCTCGATCAGGAGGCCAGTTGGTGGTGAGTGTCATCACCGACATTATCAAGCCTGCGCCACTTCAAGTGGCTATGACGAAGCAGTTGAAACTGCATCGCAACAAGAACATCAAGACAAACGTGTTCGAGTACGTCAAGTTTTTGCGCAAGTTTGTTGCTGGCTGGTAGCCAGCAACAAACATGCGAAAACTCCGGGCGAGTACCGGATGACGATTGATTCTCGCCCTATCAACGCATGGACGATTCCCATGCCGTGGCCGATGCCCAAATTGGACGCCGCGATGGCGACGTTGGTCAGCATGGACGTGTTCTTCACACTCGACTGGCTCAAGGGCTACTGGAATCTCCCGCTGCGCCCCTCGTGTCAGATGTGGTACTTTTTCATGACACCGTTTGGAGTGTGCACGCCTACGAGAATCCTCATGGGTCAGACGGACGCCGTAGCGTACTGTCAGTCCGTCGTCAACCAAATGTTCGGCGAGTTGTTGTACGCTGGCGTGTTGGGCTGGTTGGACGATCTCCTCGGGTATGCGGACAGCGTGGACAAGTTGTTCGTCCTGTTGGACAAGGTGCTGGCCATCTGCGGAAAGTTCCGCCTCAAGTTGCACCCGAAGAAATGTGACTTCTTTCTCAAGGAAGCTACGTGGTGCGGAAAGGTGATCTCCGCCGATGGAGTCTCGCATTCGCCTGAACGTGTTCAGGGTTTGTGTGCGTTGGAGACGCCTGTGACCGGCGCCGACCTGCAGCAATTCGTATGTGCAACGAATTGGATGCGTAGCTCGATCCCTAACTACGCCGAGTTGATCGGACCGTTGCGGCAGCTGTTGGATGTTGCGGCGAAGGCCGCTGGCGGGCAATGAAGACAGTGCTGGCGCACCAATCTTGCAGCAGTTGGATGGGCGGCCGAGCACGACGACTGTTTCGCGGCTGTGAAGGAGACGTTGCAACGAATGGTGCCACTGTCACACCCGTCGGCAGATAAGGTCATCTGCCTCTACACCGATGCGAGCGAGACGCACTGGGGCGCGGCGTGCACCCAGATTCCACCGGAAGACCTTGGCCTGCCGGTGGATCAACAACGGCACGAGCCGTTAGCGTTCTTGAGCGGTGGATTTGGATTTGGTGGGTCAAGCGCCCGTTGGCCAGCGGTCGAGGAAGAAGCGTTTGAAATCGTTGAATCTTGCAAACGGTTGGAATAACTTTTGCTGCGTCAGCAAGGTTTCCGTCTATTTTCGGACCATGACAACGTGCTGTACATCTTTAACCCGTTTGGTTACCACAGCAATATGGCCCGCTGCCAAGCTCACAAGCTCCAACGTTGGGCTATGGCCATGACATCCTTCCCCTACACGCTCGAGCATGTGGCAGGAGAAGACAACGTGTGGGCCGACCTGTTGAGCCGCTGGGGTGCGGTGCAAATGTCAGCTCAAGTGTCAAGAGTGCGACAACTGGTCGTGGTGTCGCCCCTGCAAGCCAAAGATTTCGCCTAACCAACTGCGGCGGCAATTATGAAAGTGCAGTAACATGCAAGATCAACTGCCGGAGAACATGCCGTTGAGGACGGCGTGGCATGGAGCGACCATGATGGGTTTTTCGTCACCGTTGGGGGGAAGATATGGATTCCGCCGAACGGGGTCAACTTGCAACAACGAATTTGTATCATTGCCCACCTAGGAGCCGCAGGGCATCGCGGCATGGACGTGACGACACAAGGCGTTGTGGAACGCTTCGACAGGCGTCAAGGAAGACGTTAAAGCATTTGTGAGCAACTGCTTGCACTGCCTGTGTGTGGACGTCACGATGGTGCCGAGACCAAGGGGTGTTGCCTTCCATGCGGAGCGCCCCTACGAACTCATACACTTTGACTGGTTGCAGCTGCCGCCAGCCGAAAATGGTTCGAAATACGTGCTTGTTGTGAAGGACGACATGAGCGGATTTTGCCGTCTGTTTCCATCCGCGGCAGCGACGTGGACAGCAGAGGCCATGCTCTGATGGATTGGTTTGCGTTTTGATGACATGGGTGTCTGACGGCGGAACGCATTTCAAGAACGAAGTCGTGGGGAAGATCAAGAATATAATCGATGCCCACCACCACATCACGACACCGTATACACCGTGAGCGAACGGCACGGTAGAAGTTGTGAATCGACTCGAGTTGCGAGAATTGAAAGACCCTCACGAGCGAACTGAAGCTGCGCTCGGATTAATGGCCGTGCGTGTTGACGCTGGTGCAAAGTGCATTGAACAACCAGCCGGCCAACAGGCTTGGCGGGATGTCTCCGGTGACGGCGTTTCAAGGTTTGCCGGCGACTCCACCACTGTCTGGGTTCGTACACCCAAGAACCAAAACGGTTCTGTCCGTCGACTGGCTTGCATCGGCTCGACAAAAGCACATGACAGAGTTGCGGTCGGCCTTGGACAATTTTCATCGCGACGTGGCGGCAACAAGCGAAACATTGCGCCATCAGGCGCGTGGACGACGCTCGAAAAAGCCGCATGTGAAAATGGCAAAGTTTGCGCTTGGCGATTATGTTCTGCTGGGAAAAGTCGTCAAGTTTCCCAACAAGTTAGCCCTGAACTGGAGAGGACCATACCGTGTATCACGTATCGAGTCAGACTACGTGATGGAAATTCAACAGCTTGTTGAACCATTTGCGACGTCGGTCCACCACGCCAGCCGCCTGAAGTACTTCTGCGATGCCGCCTTGGACGTGACCGACGACTTGAAGGAATACGCGGCGTTCGGTGACGAAGGATTTTTCGTTGAAGACCTCCTCGGCGCACGGTGCAGCGCCGAGGGCAAGTACGAAGTGCGCGTCAAGTGGAAGGGCCTTGAAGAAGAAGCTTCGTGGGAGCCCGCCGCGCATCTGTACGAAGACATTCCGGTCGTCTTCAATCGATGTGTCATGAAGCACGCCAGCGATGGCGCAGTCAAGGCGATGCGTGATGACTTGGAAGCAACCCTGGGTCGTCCGTTGTAGGGGGGAGTGTTCCGCGGCATTCGCGGAAGTGCGACGTGTGCCCTTAGAAGTGACCAAGGGCAAACCGTACTTACTCCACGGACATCCGTGGTGGGCCGAGGAGTTGGGTGGCTGCAGGGCTGCCACCGTTTTAGGAGAAGTAGTGACTGGAATTAAGTGGTACACTCAGCGTCAAAAACTAGGGAACACTGGCATTTTTTGTGAAATCTCAGCAACCAATGGGAGTTAGGAGTCGCTGTTTGAATATGTCGTGTGCATTTGCATGTGTGACGCGTGACTCTACCTAGTGGCTCCAAAATTGACAATTTACAACGTGTTTCCATACAACAATCAAATTTTGCCTTGTGACAATATCATGGAACACTTTGATCAATACAAAGACTCATATTATGAGTGATTGTAACATTCTAGAATGTGTGTAACACACGCCTCTTCATTCTGGGTTGCAGTCACTTTCCATCATGCCACGACAACGCATGACCGAAGAGATGCGTGGCCGCATCATGGGCCTGCGTG